CAGTGTGGTAAAAAAAAAGAAATCATTCACCGTCTGGACATAAAGCCCTTCTCAGGCAATTGGGGTACCTGGGCTCAGTGTCCTTTTGGTGCAGGTCAGGGAAGGGGTACAGGGAGAGGCCAAGCATCATTTTGCCACCAAAGTCAGGAAGGAGCCCAGCCGCCCTCTCCGGGGAGTTCCGGGGGAGCCAGGGTGGGTGGGCAGGGAGCAGCAGGGTCTGAGGACCACCGTCCTAAGGCTCTGATGGAACAACTGTTGATCACAAAACTTGACCTTGGGACCTGGGAAGGTGCTGAAGGTTCAAAGTGGCAGCAACAACGTGCTTCAGAGCACAGGATGCAGCCTGCAGTGCACCTGCTGTCCTTGAGCATTCTCTGAATTGTCCTCAACCAACCTCGCCACTTGGCCTCCTCTCATTCCTAGTACGAAGGCTACAAAGAGAGAATGCAGAAAGGAAGTACATCTCTGGTTTGAAACACTTGGATTCTGCTTTTGAATGGGCTACACAATTTTGCGCTCTTTGTTGGAAAAGGGCAGCGCTGTGTAGTCTATCCCTCAGTAATTGTTCAACAAACCAAAGAAGAGGAAGGGCATGTTTGGCCCTCTCCTTCTCACAGGCCTTATTGGGAGGCCCTGTCCTGCAACTTGGTGCTCTGTGCACCAAGGAGCTTGGGTGCCAAGTTGTGTGCTCGTGTGCGGCGGGGAGAGTAAGAGGGAGGAAGGAGAGGAAGGGGAGGGAGGCTGGTGCACAGGGCTTCCCTTTTTGGGGCACCTTTCTGTTGCATTGCTCCTCCCTCAGCTGGTCCATACCTGCCCTGAGCCCCTGGGGTACACAACCAGGTATGAGGAGGGGTGCAGGCAACAGGGGCCTCTTCTGGGATGTGGAGGGAGGCTATCCTGGGCAGCATTCCCGGCTGGGAGATGCCCTGCAGATGCCACACATGTCTCCCGGATGGCTCCCAGTATGAAGAGGGGAAAGGCAGGAAGGGGAGGTGAATGACAATGAGGGTGACCCCCAAAGACACGGAGAGCTTTTCTGCTGAAACACCAAGGCTGGGGCCTCTTGGAGGGATAAGAACTTGGCCTTTTCAGCTGTTTCCCTACCTCTAATCTTTCAAATCGGGTCCCAAAAGTGGTCCGTCTGGGAAGGTGCCAGAGCTATCACAGCAGAGGACAGCTCCCTGTTCAGGAAGAAACCTCATGGCTACCCAACGCGCAACCTCAAAAAGCGCTGCTCAGAGGCTGACACTGAGAACGAACATCTCCCAGGGACCTACTGGGCCCCCAGCCCTCCCCTTGGCATTGCCAAGGTCAAATCCGTCTCCTTTCAGGAGCCTTCTGCAGCGTTTTCTAGCCCCCACCCCCTTTCACTTTAGCCAGGCTGATCCACAGTGTCAAACCCAGAGTAATTCATTCTGGAGAGAGGTCAGGTATCTGCATACCAATGTGGCGGTTTCCACCCAGAATAACCAGATGGCTTGTTAATGTTGGCCCAGGGAGAGCTAGAAATGATTAGAAAGGCAGACTAGGGGGTACTTCCTCTGGACCTGAGAGAAAGTTGAGTGAAGAGGCAGAAAAGATGCAACCTAGTTAACCAAGTGGAAGTCTTTTAACTACAGGACTACAGGTCACTAAGTGGAGAAGGACTCAGAGGAACTGCCACACCAGGAGCATTGACCTAGGCTGGTGCTTTGGGCTCCTGGGCTGATGGAAGAGACACAGCACTAGGCCTTAAGGAGAAAGAGCCTTGCAGCATGGGGCTTCCTCCTCGTGGCCACTAGGCCTCTGGGGACCAAGCCAAGAGCTCTAAACACTAGCATCAGCCTAATTTCCCCAGTCCCTGGTTCTTTTTTTTCCCTCCAACCCAGGCATTCTGAGTAAAAAGAGGGCTATGGGTTAAGAAGGAAGAAACTGACCCTGGAACAGGCCAAGATAACTGGGCCAGAGAATGAGCTAATGATCTTGAATGTCGGAAGTTGGTAAACGAAAAGGGACAGAAAGATACTAAGAGGATATCCTGTAAATGCAAGCATTAACCTTGTATTTTATTATTTATAAAAAAGCTTGCAGAAAGTTTATCTTACTTGATATTGACAACCTGGGGAAAGTACTACTGTCCCAATTTCATAAAACAGGAAACTGATTCAGCCATCCTCCGCGGCCGTAGCATTAGAGGCGGAACCAGGACTTGAATCTGGGTCTTGCGATGCTTTCCTTCTCACCCCAGGATCTTCGGTCTCGGAGAAAAGGCCAGGCCTGTCCTCCAACCTTTTCATGTGTACCTACAAAGCAGACCACTGCCATCTTGTAAGAAACACAGAACCCTTCCTTGCCCTAGTACTCGGGGCAGGGGGGGGGGCGGCGTGGTCATAGAGCATGCCGAGATGATGGAAACCAGAGGTGGCTTTTGCTTCCTGAGCCTCTTTGGAAAGACTGGCCCCGCCCAGACGGCCTAGGCAGCTGCAAAGGTGGTGCTGAAGAGAAAAATGTCAAGAAGTTTAAACTGGGGAGACTGACACTCCCTTTCTCTGCTCTGCCCGTCTGTCAGAATGGCTCCGTCTGGCCACTCTCCTTTGGACCTTCCTTCTCAAAGCTTTAGTTTCTCCCACAGGTCACTCAGCGTGAACTCTCAGGAGAGGAAAGTCAGTAAATGGCTTAGGTTTTTGTTTGTTTTCAAAAATCCTGAATGGACCCCAAATGTCCATGTTTACTTGTTAGCCAGATGCTCTGAATCGTTAAGGTCCATCAGCTCTACGTTGCGTGGCTCCTCCCTCCCCGGGGGGCACCCAGATTCTTCGGTGGATACGAAGCACACTGTTGGTGAGGAGCAGGCAAGGCTGGCAGAGGCTCTTTCCTGACTAACCTGATTAACCCATTTCTGCTGGTTTCCCAGGCTGCTCTTCGGACCTGGCTAACACTATTAGGCTGAGTGGACACACCCTTAGCCTGCCCGCTGTCAGTCATAGGTGCCCTTCAACCCCCAGCTCAAGGCCGCCGCCTCAGCAAACGAGCCCTTGATTCTCCCTTCGTCTCTTCCTTTGCTCTCTCATAGCTATTTAATTATGTGCCTTTCCTACAGTTCTTCTCTAATTCTACCTGTGCTAATTAATTATGAACATCGTTCATTTTCCCTAATAGATCATAAACCCCTTAGAGACAGACACTATGTAGTATTTATCTCTGTGTTTCCCCCTCCACTTTCAGGTCTGGTCAGGGGTTTAGCTTCACGTACAGTAGGAGTTCAATAGATAGTTGTTATAAGGGAATTTCCCTTGGTTTCTTTAAAAACAGGGTATCTGTGAAATAGATCGAATGATCCCTGCACAAAAGACAGCCCCACCTCAAACCGTCCTTTGATAACCCTGACGGAATAGAGGCCCATCTCCCTCCAGCAACATCACCAGGGTTGCTGCAGCCAGATCCAGCCAACGCGAGCTAGAAAGAAGGCACAACCAGACCGGCGAAGGCAAGGGTTCTGAGTTACTGAACGCGGTCAGCCCTGGCTGCTGTGGCTCCGTGGACTGAGCACTAGCCTGCGAACCAAAGGGTTGCCAGTTTGATTCCCAGTCAGGGCACATGCCTGGGTTGCAGGCCTGGTCCCCAGTAGGGGGCACATGAGAGGCAACCACACATTGATATTTCTCTCCCTTTCTCCCTCACTTCCCCTCTGTCTAAAGATAAAATAAATAAAATCTTTAAATAAAGAGATTAAAAGTACATAAGCAAAAGCAAGGGGTTGGTGCTATTACATGTCCCCAAGGAAAACCAAGGAAAGATTTTGTGGCATAGGGGGTGGCAAGGAGGCAATGAAGGGGAAAAAAAGGTGGGGGGGGGGCAGTTTCCTGTCAAGAACAAGGATCCAAAGAGTGACAGCTGAGACCTAAATGGATTCCCCACCACGAAAGGGAATGAGACACCCCATTCCTTTTATGGGAACGGGATGCCCAGACTATCCTGAGGTGAAAAGTCATCATGGTCTCAGAGGGGCCTGGGGCCCTGCTTATGCCTCAAGGTCAGCTAAAGACCAAGGCATGTGGGAGCAGAGCAGAGGGAGGGAAGCTGGAAGAGTACTACCATGAAGTTCAGATAAAGCCATGAGCAAAGGCGGCCGGGGAAAGTCACTCCAGAAGGTGCTTTTGGGAAAGCCTGTGCCCTTTGTACAAGGCAGAAGGTGGGATCAAGCATCGAAGTGGGACACAGACTGACTTGGGCCACTCACTGGTAGAGCAGGGGTCGGGATCCACCCCTACCCCCATCCATACACCACCCCATGTAACTCAAACTCTCTTTACTGGTCAAGCACTTAGGGTCAGAGCATAGCTTCCTTGGGCCAGGCTCCAGGGATGCAGTGGTCACAGGGATTGATGGGGGAAAGAAACATCCCAAGAATCAGATCTCAGCCAGCAGGGGAGGAGAAGCTATCTCTAGGGGAGATTTAAGCACGCTCTCTCCATTCCCCCACCCCCCACAGAACTCTATTATAAACCTGGTAAATAAAAATCTAATTCCTGTTTAAGGAAAAGAGGTTCAGTCCAGAAAAATCCTCCTTTCTGAGGCAGTGTGGGGAGCATGTTTTCTGTTCTCAATTTCCTATCGAATCACTCTTTGCTCTTGGGACCACAGAGAGGATGATGATAATTCCTCCATCCAGGTCCAGGCAGGAGGCTGAGGTGCACACAAAGGCCCCATGCACCTCTGTCCTTCCCCTCAGACACTTCTTTGCCCAGACTTTCTCTTACTTCTGACTTTGGCTGCAGATCATGCAGGACAGAGGCAGAGGACAGGGCCCACCTGGGAGGAAGAGGAGGACACGTGGGAGCCTAAGCCGGCGCTCCCTCCCAAGGGGGCCCTGTTTCTCTGAGCCACACAACCACGTCTCCATCACTGCCCTGCCAGGGCTCATGCCAATGCACACAGAGGATTCACCACAGGCAAGGAGAGGGGGTGAAGCTCGGGACTGCAAGAGAAGCTTCCCTAGCCCCCACAGCCCCAAACGGTACCTGCCAAGGCCTTGATCCGGGACCTCTCAAAGAGCCTGGCTGAGCTGTTGTCATTATCCAGCTCATCGTCCGGGGCATCCCAGCGGGCATTGATCCGGCTGTACGGTGGCTGGTTGCCCACGTTTTCAATCTCCGTGGCTGATGTCATGTCAGCAGGTTCTTAGCGGCTACGCCTGCCTCAGTCTTCATGGAAGGGTCCCTGGGGGGTGGACAGCAACACAGTCAGAGGGTTAGCTCCCACCCCCTTGGACTTTTTCTCAGGGGAAACTTATTTGGAGCATCCAACTGGAGTAGATCCTTGTGGGAGCGACACACAGTGCCATCTGCTTGGCCATGCTTCCTACCCGGGGTCTCTGGCTCCTTGGATATAAAATATTGCAGCAGCAGCAGCAGCAGGAACAGTAACAGCGGCAGTGGCGGCGGCGGGGACAGAGAGCTGATGCAGCAAGGGTCAGGACGGCCAGCAGGTGGAGACGTCAGTTGCAGCAAGCCCGCTTCCTCCAAACCCGCTACCTTTAATGCTGCTGCGGGAGCCCCAGAGGACGGCTCTTCAGGGAGCCTGAGGCTGGAGGGTCGAGCAGGAAAGAGCAGCCCCAGCCCCAGCCCCACCCCCACCCTGTGGACTGGGGGAAAGGGAGAAGAGGGGAGAAGCTGGAAGTTGGCTTCATCTGACTCAAACACGAATCAGTGGTTAAGAGAGATAGATGAACGTGAGCTTCAAGATGCCATTGGTGTCAGTAGCCCCGGCGGCTGCGCGGGGAAGTGTACTCCTCCCAGAGGCTGCCCAAGAGCCCTCTGAGGCCTTCCCCAGCTACAAATATTCAGAAAGCTGAGCTTTTGGTTTTGCCTTCTCTGAAGTGCGACCAGGTGCTCAGACCAGATCTCCTGTTGAATCCCAGGACAGAGCAAAGAGTCCAGGCGAGCCTGCTGTCCCATCAAAGCCATCAGCGTGATGGTGGGGGGGTGGTGGTGAGGGGATCCCATGGACAATGGAGCTGTGTGTGTTCACCTGTACAACCAACATGGTACACAGGAGCACTGGGTCCTCACTCGCCCGTCATTTATCATATTTGCCCATTCATTCATTCATGATTAATTCACATATACACCAACCCCCAATGAGATGGCAGGTGCTGTGCTAGACAATTATGAGTAAGACAGGAAGGACCCTGGCCTCATGGAGCTTACATTCAGGCAGCAAGACAGATGATTAAGTAAGCAATTACAGTAAGTGTGGTGTGTGCCACTGGGAAGGAACGGGAAAGGGAGAGACTCGTGGTAGGATGGGTGCTGGGGGCGTGGAAGTGTAAGCTGATTCCTAAAGAAACCTTAGAGACATCCTGGGAGGCGATATATGGAAAGGGGTGAGTCCCAACAAAGGGAAGAAAGAGCAGGAGTATAGTTCTGAAAGTGAGAAAGAACATGGCAAGATTGGAAACCGTGCCATGTAACCAGAGGGTGAGGGCTGGGTCAGGGGAGAAGTGGGTCAGGAAGCCAGAGGCACCAGGCTAGGTCCTGCATGTCTTGGGCCTTTGGAAAATGACTAGCTTTTCTTTAGCCTTAATTTCCTCACCTGTACCTGCCATTCAGTCATCTCTTCAGGGAGCTTAAGGGACTCTAAGGTCAAGTCTGTAAGAGAGGACAGGGAGCCCAGAGCCTTCATGTCCAAGAGGGCCAAAGCGGGTGGGGGGGGAGGATGTGGGGCAGACAAATGACACAGGTTGACAACAGTGAGCTGTCAGGTAGAGCACTCCTGCCACGAGTGTGTGCACTTACACACCACACATATCCATGCACTCATATTACATACACATGTACACACTCCAACACACACACTCTCCCACCCAAGCAGGCATGCACTTGAAGAAGAAATGGAGCAAGCTCAGCAATCCAAGTGCAAGTACAGTGCGAGAGCCCTTATTTTTCAAACAGAATCATGTCAGACTCTTTTTTCCCCAGTCTGATTAATCAATCCCACCACATCCCTTTGAGGTAAGACATGAGCCAGAATTATCCACCCTAATTGCAGAAGGGAGAAAACCAAGACTATTACAGGATGAGGCCTCCCCAAGGTCATCTAGGAAATTACTGCTGCGGCTGGGACCAAAGGCCAAGCTGCAGCCAGTTTATTTCCCTCAACCAGGCTGATTTTAGGGAAGCAAGTGGGAAAAGAACGTGGTACACAGGGCCAGGGGGCACTCCCCAGCTTCCAGGACTTGGCAAAGGTATTTGCTACTCAGGGAAGGGAAGGTATAAGGTGGAAAAGCCAGTCCCTCCCCCAAGCACAGCATGCTCCATGATGCCAGACCTGTGCCCAAGAACACCCTCGCCCCTTTGAACAACCTGTTATCTTCTACATATGGACATGCTACTTCCAGGGCTGACATTTCCCACCCAACTGGCTGGGCAAAGGTAGCTGGGAAGGACTCCAGAGTCCACATGGCTCTCCCCACCTCCCTGAAGGGGAACTACAGCTGGCTCTGAGCAGGACAGGCCGAGGGACCCAGCACCCAGAAGGGCTGAGCTGCCAGATGCAGGAGGCGCAGCAGGCGAGGTGAGATCAGATCCTGTGTGCAGGAGGTAACTGGACCCTGGCTCTCCTTGTCTTGGGCTATTTTTAAGAGTGGCTGCGAGAGGCCCAAGGCACAGGGCTGGGGGAGTGAGATTACCTTTGCCATGGCTCCGTAAATAAGTCTGCCCCAGAAAGATGAGCCTGAGCAGGCAGCCCGGCAGCCCAGCATTCAAGACAAGATTGATGGCACTGGGTGGAGAAGAGCAGCCACTAGACAGCAATTCATCCTGCTTAAAAACGCCATGCTTCCTGCGACTGCGGCTTGGGGAAGGCAGCCACCAGGCAACGGCCCTGCCCGGAACGTGAAAAAAACACATGTGTGTCTAAATACACAAGTCTAGAGTGTTTTCTTATTTTTATTTTTATTTATTTTTATTAGAAGAGTCAGGCCCCTGAAGGCAAACACCAAGGAAAGAAGATTCAGAAACTAAAGGGAGGTCCTCTTCCTCCTGCCCCCGGCCATGCCCACCCTAGTGGCCTGCCCAGATGGCACTCTGTCAGTGCCAAGGGGTGGGAGTGGGGGGCAGCATGCACAGCGGCAAGGGAAGAATCTTGGAGAATTTAGGTGCAAGAGGCAGAAGATTAGAAAATAAGGAAACCTAGATGGTTATTCCAAGAAAACCAAACCAAACCAAAAACCAAAAACAAACCTGAGGTCTGAAACCACATTTAACCCAGTGCTTTCCCAGTGTCATCCATGTCTAGTTCCTTTACTGTCATAATATCCTGTTGAAAGCCTGACAATAAAGGAACCATCAGGACTGAAAAGAAGAGCGTATGTTGGGGAATCATGATGGAGATACCTAACCAAATGGGGAGTCATGGAAATGACATTGAAGCTGATATCTGAGGGGAACGTGGAGATGAGGTGACCTGGCCACGTTTTGAAGGCCATATGCCATCTCTGCACCTGGAGTGCTGCTCCATGAGCTACACTGGATCTGCTAGATCCCAGTCACACTGTAGGTGGGTCTTTTCTGGCCTGTGTGACTCTGTGCCCAGGAAAGGCCACCTTTCCTGTCCCTCTACCTGCCTGTCTAGCGGCTGGGCAGGCCCGTCTCTAAAGGCGGTGTCCACTGGCTTGCCCTCGCCCGGTGAGCTCTGCCAGCCTCTGACCCCAGGCTATAGTTTGGGCAGGACAGATCCCTAGAAGCCTTGCCCATGGCACAGTATTGAAAAGCTCACCGCACTGCACAGGGCACTCCCTCACAGAAGGAGCGTCTGCTTGGTAAGCTGATTTCACAATATCACTGACAAAATCCACAGCTCCACCCTTCCCACGTGTGCCCAGGAACCCATCCGCTTCTGGGATCAGGTGTTAGGCCTTGGAATCTCAACCTCCCGCGCTATGCCCAGTTAATCCTTGCATGCTAGGAACCCAAGAAGTGGCTTCAGTGTCAGCTGCTCTCCGCCTGCAGGGTGCTGCCGGAGCCCTAGCTGGAACTCACCTCAGCCCTCCCCATGGTGCCGAGCAGAAGAAGATAGCTCCTCTTTTCTTCTCCTCCCCACCCCCTCTCCTCTTCTCTGGACCACACGAATGTGAGAAGCAACAAAGCCCAGTCCACTTCAGGAGTGGGGAATGGGGGAAATACAGGGTGATGCTACTCTGCCTTCGCAGGGTCACCGGTGGGGGCTGTTGCAATAGCTTGGACACCATCTTCCTTAAACAGAGAATTTACACCCACTCTACCTTTGTTTTCTCTCTAGCTCTAAGGTTTGACTCCTCACCTGCTCTCTACAGGATCTGGCAGAAGTAAGGCCTGCTTGAGTGTGGTTCATAGGGCAATAACACAGATGTAATAATTTACAGTTTTTTAATTTGAGCATTTCACCTAAAATGTCATATGGTGTGCTTGAGTGTGATAATGCTATGTTACAGAATTACATGCTTATGGTTTTGTAATAAAAGATTTTGTAATAAAAAGGGGGCATTACTTGTGCTGGACCCTGTATTTTATACTGTCCCCAAACCTACTTTTTAAATATATTTTGGTACTATGGCAACCCAGGTCAGGGAATTAAACCCTAGAGTTTCCCTGGTAACTTTGCTGCCAATGCATTTACAATGCATGTTCACAGACACCTTAAATAGTCAAATACATAAACGCTCACTAAAACAGCATGAGACAATAAACAAACAAACACACAAATAAATAAAACCAGCATGAGAGCCAATGAGCTGCCCAGTGTGGAGTACTCTACATTTGTCTCCAGCCTTAACCTCATCCCCACCCCCGAGCTCTAATCTGGCACCTCCATTGGTCTACCAGATGTCTCTACTTTGGGATTACGGCTCAGTCTCAGTATGGCTAAGACTGAGCGCACGGCTCTCAGGAGGAGAATAAGGGAGTTTCAAGACCAGGGGGTGACGGTGAGTCCCAGGTAAGCACACCACCTGTGGGTGACCTTTCCAGCAGATAGACATTACCACCAGTGCCTAGACTAAGCCGCTTCCCCTCCCCAGAGCACACTCTGCTTTTCCACACTCTGTAGTTCCCATCCCAACCTGCGCGGTTCCCAGTCCAGCAGTGGCAGGGTTTGGTTTGCGTTTCTTAAAGTCTCAAGATTTCGATCCATGGTTACCACCA